AGTTCCAATAATTAGTTTTAAAGGTTTTGAAGTCAATAAAATGACAACAGTGCCCAAATTTATGCACCTGCCTAATTTTGTTTAACCAATTATTGCACACTTTCTGTAAATCATATAAACATCATTTCACTTCTCAAATATCACTGTGTTTGTCCCCTATATGATATATTTTACTGATATTTTTACTCCAAACAATCAATGATTTATAAAGGTAAAACAGACAAATTAACAAGGCTGCCCAACCTTTCTCACCCCATTGTAAATAATGATGGTGGGCCGCTGTGAGCCAATATCCTGGTGTCTAAACTCGTTTTCAGGTATGAAGGATTCAGTGGTGATCATCAAAATCTATTTTAGGTGATAACCATCTTGGATTTCTTAAAAAGCCTCTGGAAGCCATTTAGACCAGTGGTTCCCAGTTGGGATCAGATTTTTTTAAATTTTACATGTTGGTTGAGTTTGATGAAACCAATGGGATGAACAGCTGAGACCCAGTTTTTGTTTATGTCMCTATGAACAATTTGTTTACCTGCTGATTCAACTGCTGGTGGTTTTAACTGTTTGGTGAACGTACAAATGTTTTTATGATGCTTCTGGTCATACCACATGACTATGTTTCAAAAACACACTTAGAGTTAGCATTAGCAGTTAGCGTTAGTTTCTGCTAATTTTGAACCTRTTTAGTGTTTTCAGAGCTATGTTTTAGGAAGCAGAGTGGCAGTAAGCAGAGCTAACTTGTTCGTTAGCCGTGTTAGCCCTTCATGTGACCTACAGACATTCTTCTGCAGCTTCAACAACAAATGTAAGGAATTAGTTTTACTTTTTAGAAGGAATCAGCTGCCACCTTTAAGCTCATTTTACATGAGACCATCAGTTTTGCTCTTTCTCCTTTGTTGGTGGGTGAAAACAGGCCATGCTGGTGAATTATTCTGTGAAACCAGACATGTTCATGCTCTATTCAGTTTGTTTAACCTTGTGGGATAAAAAGTTTAGAAATGTCCCTGAACACTTCCTTTTACGACTAGATGAATTATTCACTTCATCTTCACCTGTTCCTAAAACCAAACTCTGTGACCTTTGACCTTTGGGTGATAAATTCAGCCTCAGTCTGATCACACAGCTTGAATAAAACAACAGAAAAACCAAACCAAGCTAAACTGAGAATTATTCTGTGTAAAACACGTTATTTATAACATCTAAAAGGGATAATTTGGTCATTTTGAAGTGGGATTTTGTGGAACGGTTAAAAATAATTGATATTTTAGCAGTCRGTACATCTTGGAGCAACTTCAGTTTGGACATTTCTGATAGGTCTGGTCTGTGCAGAACCAAAAAGAGCAGATTCTCACTGTCTGAGAGCAGCTTCAGCCTCAAACATTTCTCAGTAAATGTGTATGTAAGGTGATAAAGTTTCACCCTGTCATCTATGAAGAGTCTGTGGCAGCATGAACACAGACTGCTTTCTGTGATCCTGTTCTTAAAGGGGCAATATTATGTGTTTCTGAGGCACATATTTAAATTCTATACCATAATAAAGTCTCTATGTCACCTTTAGTTGTTATTAAAATGCTGTTTTTATGTTTAAATAGAAAATAAATAACTTCTCATCATATCTGTTTCTAAACACCTTGAAATTGGCCTCTTTCTCTTTAAGAACCTCCTCCCCCTTCTCTCCCGCCCATTTCAACTTGTGGTGGTGGTGGTGGTGGTGGTGGTGTTGGTGGTGGTGGGGTTGCGCTGTGATACAGAAGCTCGGCGTAGTTTACTTGGCATCTGAAAATACATTTCCTCAAAGGTATTTTGAATCTGAAAAGGGCTGCACTGAGAACAGTTTCACTTTCAGTTTCACCAGTTTGGTTTGTTGCTGCTGAGAACCTGCAGGAGTCATGGGCGGGGTGTGTGGGGTGGGGAGGTGTGTGGGGTGGGGAGATGTGCCCTGTGCTGAGGAAGCTCAGTTTGGAGACACAGCCTAAAGGAGGAGCTGATCCCAGAAGGTGGTTCTAGTCCCAACCAGTCATTTTTAACTCCCCTGCCTTCTGCCTCAGGACAGCACAGGATTTCYCAAACATGCATGAATGAATCAAAGTAAGACTCTGGGTATGTTTTTGATGAGATGTTAACATTATAACATGATATAAAACTCAAAAAAGTTGATGTTACATCATATTGCCCCTTTAAAGTGTATTTACTCAATGGGCCTCATGCAAGAACCATTTGTACGCACAGATTTGTTCTTAAGTTGTGCGTACAAGTGTGTTAGGAGAACTTATCGTTCACCAAATTTCTCTTATTGTTAAGATTTTTTCAGATACGAACAAAATTCACGAGTGGTCCCGACCTGTCGTATATTTTATGTGCAGTCAGTCTGCTGTTATCCAGACTGATTCTCTTCACTAATAACTCTATTTCATTAGTTTGAAGATAGAGTTGAAACTAAATCACACTCCATAATTATGTTGACAAGCTATTCTGTTTGAATTATAATTATAATTATAACTAATAATGTAGACTAACTACATAACTTAAATGACAAACCAACTTAAATTATGCATTGATTGAAGTTTATTTTGTCGTGGTATATAATGAACTTTATTCAGACATAGATTGGGTTGTTTTTTTAATCAAATTTTATTTTGTTCAGATTTATTCAGCACATCAGTCTGTCTGACTGTCTGCTTTTTTCTCCAAAGTGCCAGACATGTTTTGAATATTTTAAACATTGGTACAGGCTGTAGCTCTTCCTCTGAATAAATGAAAATTATTAAGGGTGTCCCGATCCGATATTGATATCGGATATCGGGCCGATATCAGCCAAAAAATGAGTATCGGATTTTATCGGCCTGCATAAAAAATGTCTGATATAAGAGTTCCGATATAAGCAGTTCAATCCAGCAGTTCACTGACTCCACTCCAGTGTTTCTATCCAGCAGCGCTTGGATCCAGCATGCAGCGCTCAGGTGATCACAACAACATGCGCTAACAAGTTAGCAAGAATGTTGGCAGAACTTTCTATTTTCATCAGAAACAGAGTTGCAGCAAAGTTGTCACGCACAAGTTTTCCGAGGGGAAACACAGAACCGTGAACGTTTTAAACCGGAGCGAACACTACTCTCCACC